TGACCTTTGAGATTGACCTACATTAAATAAGCAAACCTTCACCATAACTTTTAAAGGATTAGGGCTAGTGCTTTCATACTTCACATATTTAATTCTTGTGACAATACCTTTCTTTTCATAACAAGAACATATTTAATGTTTAATCAAATGGAATTTATCTAAAACTTCACAATTTTTATTTAAAGTTTCAAAAAAGGAGTGATTATGTAAATAATATGGACACCTAACTCTGAATTTAAGGCTTTATAAAGGAACAAAAAGATAACAAGACAGTCGAACACTTGTCTTTAATACTTTTAATATTGTATTTCAAAGCTCAATGATAGACTAGCTTTCAAATAGAATAAATGCAGATTAGTAATTTGTCAGATGAATGGCTAAACATACTACATGTAGGTCTTCTATTTCGAGTATTATGGATCTTTGTGTCATTCTTACGAACATAATTCAGTCACTTCTTGTAAATCTGAAAGAAATAAAATATATATATATAAAACAAAATAGACCATGAGCCAGTGGTATTGAAAACACATGTATCTTAAATACATATATTATATACTTCTTAGTTGTTTGAAAAAACTTTTTTTATGAAACAAAACAAATGTTACGTTCAGACATGGACACTCAAATTTGTTGTGATCATTCATGTTTTCTTTCAAGTTATAATAACTACAGAATTTATGATAAAAATCATTTTAAGTTACTTTACTTTTTATCTAATATAACTATACATAATAAAATATCATTGAAACACTAGAAACAAGGACAAATCATGTCACCATTTCAAGTTTTCGTGTTTATCAGCTTTAAAATACGGTTGATCGTTTCCCTGTAAAGAAACGAATCGGTTCATCATGCTGCAATAACTCTGTTCCGTTTAGCACCGGTGCTTAAATTTGTTTGTAGACCTGTGAATAAAATGCAGACGGATTGGGCTTTTCCCGCATTAAATATATCCTTTTATTCATCAGAAACCTGTTCGTAGCTTATATAGATAAATCTTTTTTAAGTAAACACTTATAACAAAATCAGTTTCCTATTTTACCACTTTATCAGTAAAAACACGGAGTTTAGGGAGCTTCGTGAAACAGTCCCACTTAGCTTTAGAAACCTACATTCATCAGCTACTTTCTGCAATAAACTGTGTTTAAATTGCAAAAGACTACACATCGATGTAGTTTAAATTTGTATTTCATTCTTAACTCAAATGTATATTTCAACTGCACAGTTTTGATACATGTTTCTGATCGGATACTTATTTGATGACTTTCTTAATTCATTGGAGAAATATGTCTGCGGCATTTCTTTGATCTCGGCAATAATTGTAGTAGAATTCGCATTAGTTTAATACGCCTTGTCCCAAAAATAGGCAATGGTAAGATTTGATTGCATAATAATTCAGCCTTCATACACATCTATGAATTCACTTAATTAAATAAGTTTTTTTTGCAACAATTACATTTAGTGAAGTTATGAAGGTTTTTGACCGAATAATTGTAGAACAGAGAGATAGAAGAGATTTAAACATTATTTCCCCGATCTTCTATCTCGGGGGAATAAAAGTACTAATAGTGCTCCACAATTGCGATAGAATAAGTGACAATATACACCCTTTCCTTATCATTAAAGATGCAGCTGTTTAATGGAACTCTGAAAGTATCCTGCACTTTTCGTCAACAAATCATCATCTTATATGTAATGTCAATTTTCCAACGTCTTATAATATTTTGTAATTTTCTCCTGCTTTCAGATCAAAAGTGTTTGAAAAGTACATCCAAACCTCTCCAAAGTAACTTAGGACGTAAGAATAGTCTTCATCGGATTTCATGACTGTTCAGTACATAGGAAAGGTTTGAATTGACATTGGCAACAATCAGTTTCATGCTCTCTTATCCATGAATAAAAGGGATGTTCGATTGAATTAAATTGTATTGTGTCACAAGTTGGGACTTTTTAAAGTAAGGTAAAAAAAAGTTCGATAATTTGAATAATTTAAGTAAAACATCTCAAACTAGAGGATCAATATTCTACGTAGAAAAATGACACCCTATCCACATTCTATGGGGGCCATTATTCGTCGTTACACCGCCATTTTTTAAATATAAAAAGCATAATAAAGAACTTATCAAACAGGGTCTAAGAATTTTTCAGAAATCTAAAAATACATCATGCAAAATTTAAATCTACTAGAACAAACTAATTTTCGTTTAAAAAGCAATTTATAAATTTTCACAAAATATTCAATTGCCCCCCACCCCTTTAATTTGTTGCAGTATTGTCAAATAATATAAGAAAATATAATGTTTAAAGAAGTTGGAACCCTACCCCCAATCCTCCTTCTTTTGGTGTGCCAAGCTTCTTTAGGTTAGTATTTTTCTCAGGTTTCGGGACTTAATTTGAGTGTGTTTCATCTCGGACAGCCCCCCTCCACTTTCAATATAAAAATATGTCTGGAAAAAGTTGGGACAGACCCTCATGTCCCCCGAAGCTTCGTGCGTGAATACAAACAGTGCTCACCATTTAAATGAGGATTTCTTTCTAATTCTAAATGTGCCTTTCTGAAACACCAGGACATGTTTTCCAGGAGACTGGAAAATATAATTACCAAATCACATTAACATTTGTGAAAATATTAACATTTTAAAATATTTTCCTAATTTCAGGCGTATTTAAAATAAAAACATTAGCCTATTGTTTCGCGATTAATGTTTACTTATTTGAAAAACCGTAATTTTGTGATTTTTTGTACATTGTCCTTGAAGCAGAATTAAGATGCATGTATGTCAGTTAATACTTAGTGGTACCGAATCGAAGCTTTATAGGACTTAAAATGCCTCAAGTTTAATTAAATCCGTAAAAATTACTTTCACTCTTTCATGTCCATTCTATCAACGAAATACACCTGTTTATTAATTGTCCAAACATATACACATACAATAATTATTTCTACAAAACTTTTACTTATTTTTCATATTAACATGCTAAAAATTTTCATTTTCTTTCGATGCGTCTTTAAGCACCATTTAAAAAACAGGAGTTAGTCTTTAAAAAATAAAAGTTTTTGTATAATTTAAGAGAACTATCTGACATTTAATTGATGACAGTTACCGTCATTTCATAATTAAACCGTGTAAGAGAAATCTCCTTGGTTTTCGACTTTTTTTTAGGAATCCTCGAAAAGTAAATCAAAGTGTAGAGCAATACCCTATTCGGATGGATTATGCCTTGAGATATCCACTGTATAGGTGAAAGTTTGCTGCGAACAAATTTCCGAGAACCATTTCTCATTATTGCATTAGAGTCTAGATGTAGTTGTACATGTATTATAATTGCATATTGTATTTATTTACTTTTCTCTGCATGAATGTAATGCTTACATACGAGGGTGATTAAAAAGTTATCTCTATATTTACAAAACTACAATTCAGATCAGAGTGAAATTTGACGTATATAGAGTTAGACACGTGTTCTATAAAAAGCATATGTAGTAAAATGTTTTGACCCGTGTTTGTGATAATGACGCCAAAGTGTAGACCACTTGAAACAAAATATGGTTGACTTGACTCAGTCGTATTCGTGCAACAAACGGCTTTAAAGTTAAACGTATATCTTGGAAATTTAATTGCAGAAGCAGATACTAAATTGTACAAGGTTTATGAGGACATAAGATTAACCATTGGATTGATTGTTTTATTGAATTAAGGGATATGTTTAAAAATGATGCTTGCTCTGTTGCCTAGTAGAAACAAACTTGGGGGAGATGTATCCTTTGTTAAGGAATTTGATATATAATATCGCAAACTTTTGGTTAGAAAAACATTGAATATCTTAACAATTATATAATTATTAAATCCATAAAATATCGTTTACTTTAAACTCTAAACATATCAGAGTGATAAAATGAAGGCACCCATACTCAACATAAAACAAACGACGCTCCACAGACAAAAGGACCAGGGTTTCGACAGTCACCATCCTCATTATGGAAAAGTACGAATATCATTATCCACTCATACTATTGCCGAGATTTGGCCATTTTTGACAAATGGATTATTTTCTCTTACAAAAAATAAATTGCATGGTTAGAATTATAAAAATCGGAAAAATCTTTACGTTTCTGTGACAGAAAGCTACGGAGCAAGTCACGTGACCGCCTATATCATGCGATCTGTTCATGCGCATGGAAGAGGACTAATTTGTAAAGAATTCAACACTGAAACAATGTATCATTTCTTTTCTGTTATTTTGTTTTATCATTTAATTTGTTATCGAGCATTTTGATGACCCGTTGTATATGTTACTATTATTTAGGATTTTGCAAATCGGTCTGATGCTATTGAATGAAGCTTCTTCAGCCATTTCCCAGAGGTAACTTAAAAGTAAAGTGATTGGCTGTGTCTAGAGATAATGATGCCAAAAGAATGTATCTCTATTAAGCAGTCTGACAATTTATATTAAGTTTTAAAACTTTGATATGGTTTGTTGTTACAATTGCAAACGTAAAAATTAACAAAAACAGAGCCCGTGCCCTGTTTACGAAAACTGTGTAACTATGTTTCATGGGTGTATTCAATTTGTCAAACGACATTAAGCATGGGCTGACATAACTTAGGAACATTTCAACTCTGAATTTTCTTGATGAAAGTTTTAATACAGTGTATTTTTCATTAATACAAAAAATTACTACTCTTTTTAAGCATTAGTGATGAAGTATAAACTTGTGAAGGTGATAGGATGCATCAATTTCAGTTATTCGAAATTTCAATAACTTCCAGAAATAATACAAAAAGATTGTGAAAATATCAAATCTGTGTCAAAGCACCATTAAAACACTGTAAAATACAATTTTTTCCCAAATATACGTTACACGTCGTTCTTGGTATTAGTATCCTTCCTTTACACATATTTTTTTAAATAAATATATAAACTATAAGATCTCAGAGGTCAAATAAAACTTTTACAGTGTAAAGATTTTCTTACCAAAAAAAACGAAACAAATATTTATTTTTGATGATCAATCATTTATTATATTTTGCATCAGCTTTTTTTCATAGTACTGACTAATACAGGCGAAAGCCGGAGAAGGAATTGGCTGAGTACTGGTATTTATATATCTTTGAGAATTTCCAATTCGGGGAAGTTTGCACCCAAACCTTGTTGCGTCGCCTTAGGTACAGGATCGCCATATTACTTCCCATGTTGTAACCTGACGACATTCTTCCAGACACAGACTCGACTACTCGTCTTCCATTTTTCATCAACCAAAGAGCATCTCCTTTGCCTCGTTGTGGCATGGATGTGAAGAAGAAGACGTACACTCCAGATGAGGGGGCGCGGAAAATACCACGTCTGTACGCTCTCCCTATGTTGAGGGCTATACGAGAGTATCTTATGACTTGCTGGTTGCTCTTTATTTTCTGATTACCGAGGTATGCAGTGAAGGCCACTTTTCTTGCTGAAACAAATCCTTATTATTTTAATAAAACAAATTAAAAATCGTAGTCTATAAGTATGCATATTATTTGATAGTGATCATGACACAAAAATGTATTTTTCAAATAAAAGCAAATTTAAGCTAATCATGTTTATGTTTTTTTAACTGAAATATATGGCCTGGCGATTACGAATATTATTCAAGCTTAAAAGTCCATAAAATAGTTTAAAATAAGAACAGAGGAAGCATGGACCTCCCAAACATCATACATAGGATCAGGTGACATGTCCTGGGATATAAATTTCATGTTCAGATGTTTATTTCTTGTAGATCTTTTCTTCTTTTGAGATTATTTTTTCTCTTAAATACTATATAAATATATTATATTATTATATAAAATATAAATGTTTCATCTTCTTAAATAATTCTCAAAATAAATCTTAACATTCATTTTTAATTTTGTCTTTGACACTTTTCAGCATTTCTAGTCACTGAACTATAATTTTCAAAAATTGAGAAACCAATATAAACGACGATGCTTATTGTTTTATTCCCTGATCTTAAGGTTGTAAAGATATGTAAATACTTTAATATGGCAAACAATGTGATTCATATGATGATATGTGCATTGAAAACCAAATTTCTATTTAGAAGTCTTTTTGTTTTTTTACAGAATTCGATTGAAATGATGCATTGAAATATTTACTGTATTTCAGATTTGTATATGGACTAGGCAGCATACAGAAAAGTTCTAATATTTTGTTATTGATATTCAAGTTATCAATGACATAAAATTGCTAAAACAACCTCTTCTCCTTAACAATCTTTTAAAAGTTGGTCTGGCGTCAGGAGGTTCTATACTGTCTCTTTTAAAAGTTGATCTGGCGTATTTTCTTCCTCCTGTATATTAATAAATATGTTACTTCAGATAAAGCGAAAAGATGCATTACAAAACAGCTGTAAAATATATTATCAATAACAGAACAATAATCTAATTCATTTTTCCAATGTGACTTTTGTAAAATTTTTGTCAAATGTATGTAAACAGTTAACTTGCAGAATATCATTATTATCCTATATGATTCATGTGTTTAGAACACATTAAGCATTTTCTGAAACAAGCTTTTCCAACGCCCTAACTATTTACACACCTCTCTCTTCAACTTTCTTTTAAAAAGTGCGCTGGTGTCAGGATTCTTTTCATCTTCTTCCTGTTTATATCAATAAACATAAACATAATGCATTAGAAATTTTTCAGCGAAAAGATGCATGTCAAAATAGCTGTGATATTATTATTATCATTTACATAGAGAATAATACATACCATTTTCCATATCACATTTTGTATCAGACACCAATTCATTGTTGTCAAATGTATATGTATGATAAAGGATGTGATGTGGAAAAGGGTATTATTAATATGTTTATTACATACTTAGTAATAAAATACAGCATACATTAAGTTGAGAAGAAGCTTTTAAGTAAATAATCATACATGGATTCAATTTTCATATAAAGGTGCACATGGTCTATTGTCCATTTATATGGGTTTGTTTCTACTTCTATTTCAAACATGATATATTAGAAAATTTGAAAATAACCTAAAACATGTATTTGTAAATTATTATTACCTTATTTTCAAAAAGTTAAAATCTATTTATGAACCCACCAAAAATTGTGTATGATCAAAAGCGTACTCTTTTTGTGGTTTAATTTACTAAGGGTGTGATAATATCGTTATATATGATTGACAACTTTCAGCCTGCAGGGTACCTGAACATGCGGGGCTGATAAAGGTTTTTCAGCCCTTTAACTATTCATGCATCCTCCAGGGCTTATCGGTTATTTTCGTTAGCCAGAACTGTCTCCATATGCCAAAAACCTGTATTTATTACTAAGTGTGTAATAAATAACAAACATCATGTTGATTATCTGAAATTAAAATAGTGACTTTTGTTCTTTTAATAGTATTACAACAGGTTTTTTTTTAATATGCATCGTTATCTAATTCATATTTAAAAAGCACATGGGAAATAACATTTTCTACAGGATTTAATAATGCTTTAACAAATAGTTTTCACACATCTCTCAGTTCATATTTCAAGTAGTTTCTTTTGTTTGAAACAGACTCCATAGTCAAGAACAAAACTATCAAGTTTTTATAACACAGGAAACACTCTAACAAACATTATGTTGCTGTTATCTGAAATTAAAATGGCACATAAAGCTTATCAATTCATTTTTTTCCAATATGGGAGTAATCTGCAAGTTTCTATGACATTGAAACAAGTATATTTTGATTCAATAAAGTGTCTTTTTTCAATTAAACTAAAAATTAGTAGTTTTAAATTTTGTTTAAAAAACCATTTTTTCCCTTAAGTTTGTAAAGCAAGGAAAAATGTTACATTCAATACCATGCTGTTAGCAAACTCAAGAAAAATACTGGAAAATAGACGTCATAATTTGCATTTAGAATGTAAAACCATTTTTACTACAGAAAGGATTGATTCTAATTTCTTAAATCCCTTCTAAATTTTGAAACTATCACAAGATTTTGTTACATGTGGTTTCCTAAAAAACTTATAAAAATAATTTAAGTTTTGACTCTTTCAATTCCTGTAAAATAGCAATTAACTGAACCCGCGGAAAGTTGGCATATTTTAAGCAACTTATTGGACATTGATGTTTAAATTGTTTTGATATTTTGTGCAACTGTTCATAAAAAAAGTTTTCATAGTTTAAAGAGCAGTTCTGCAAAAACCCAGCTGAATATATTGATCAAAATTTCCTTCATTAGATTTAACGTAAAAATTTTGAAGTTTTTTTTTATTGTACACTGTTTTGTTGTAGTGAAAACTGATTATCAGGGAAGATGAATGTTATCAATTAATTAAATATTCATTTCTTATCATTGAAAAACAATGAAAGGTCTAAAAATTGTTAATATTTAAAAATCACACTGAAAACCTCTTTTCATTCCAATGAACAGAGAGTTGATGATAGGCCTCTGTCAATGTTTTTTTAGATACTTTCAAATGAATTAAGGAATACAAATCAACAAAACACACCATTGCACAGTAGGTAGAAAATTGACAAATGAAGCTTTTTTTGGCCAGTGTTTATTTTTTCAATTCCTAAAAGTTTATTTTAAAAAAATCCCGCTACAATTTTACTAAACCTAAAAAAATTATTACCATGTAAGAAAATAAAAGTTAAAATAATTTCTTGCACAAGGAATTCAAAAATATTGACATTCATTTTCTTCCTCGAAAAATGAAAGTATGCTGCACTTGAAAAGTTGACAAAAGACATTTAATTTTTCTATTCATACTTTTACAATCTCAGTTTTCTACTCAGGAATGATTGTATTTGGACTTTAAATTTAAGATTATATCTTTTTAAAATAAAATTTTGATTTTTGCATGCTCCCGATTGAATGTAATATACACATTAATTTAAAAATAAAAGTGCCGTGAACTTGACATACACGGGAAATTTAAATCCTTCTGTAGGAATACAACTTTTGTACTTTTCCGGGTTATATTACATGTTTTTCTTGCAGTTTAATTGTCATATCTGAGCTATATACGCATAATTCTCGTAAGTTTTTGTTTGTATGCTTCAGATATCGTAAAATAAACACATGGTTTTGACTCATTGTGTTACTTTAAGTACTTAATTAAGGGGAAAATAGTGGAAAAAAATGAAACAAAAAGTTTATGAGATGACAAAAAAAAGCAACTAAAGGTTAATATTTGATACTTTACATACTTTTAACCATTTGAAAATATCAAGTTAAAATTCTGAAAAAGTGGAATAATATCATATTTACCCGTCTCTTCTCTGGTTGTCAGCAACTCATATGAACAGAGAACATCACTTTCTTTTATACATTTTCTTCTGCCACCTGTTGTTTAATCATCAATAAAACCCTTTATTATATGTGTTATATTTAGATCAAAACTAATTGACAAATTTATTTTATTTCATACTAATTATGCAAAGCGTGTTTTTTCGCCGGAAAACTTGATGGTTTTTTCAATTATTTTTAATTTTCTAAAATTACCCACCTGTTACTTGTGCACGTGAAATAAAGGATATTGTTCAACGGATCAAAATTATATTGGTCTGTTTAATGATTTTATTATGAAATGTCCGTTTCTAAACAACCTGCTTCATATGCATTTACAACTGAATAAAAGACTATCGACTGAAACTAAAACATTTTTAACATTTGAGTTATATTTCTTTTATTAACAAAAAGGAAATAAACAGCATGTTACTACATTTATGAATATACGAGGGTTGTCCCAGAAAAAACGTGAACTTTTATACATGTAATGATTCATAAAAAATACCCGACCGAAATTAATAAATTTTTGCATAATGTTGAAGAATGATATTTGTGTCACTTTGACTACACAATATGTAAGGTTTTAATGCCATATGCATTTAAAACCAGCATTAAAAGGGTATTAAATAGAGGTGCTCGGCGCATGACAATATCTTGATTTTGAAAAAAAAGGCATTGAAAGCTATGCGGAAAATGATGTAACAAAATCTATATCGTTAGAAACTTTATGATCTAGACTACTCGTGTGTAAAATATCAATGCTCTTAAATCATAAATGGTCAAAATAGGACGATGCATACCGTAATTGACACTATTAATTAGATATTGCTTAAAACAGAGTCTTTGAGCGATAATGCCGCGATCTTAATTCTTACTCATTGTTGTAGAGAGCAGGGTTTGACTCCTTTTCACACGAAAAAAATAGCTTAGGACGAGGGAACGGCCCAAATACATTTATCGATCACTGTTTAACATATTGTAAGAGAGGTCTAAAGATGTATTGTTATCCGATGGAAGAAGTGTTTGATTGACCAACGAACATGGCGACAAACTGAAAGGACTTTAAGCTAGACGTCATACATGGTGATCAAGGGTAAGTATTCGAGCAGTTAGGTTTATGATCGGGAGTGGGAAATCGTCTATTAAAAAATTCATTCATTGATTTATTCTGTAGTACGTGTGAAATTGATAACTCGGTAACTAAAAATAATACTATGCGGAATCGAATTTATATTATGGAATTTTTAAGACGTACAATTCGACCCTTAACAAATTCAAAATCTCTTGAGCTACGTTTTAACGTCATCGTTGTTGCTGCGGCAGCTATTTTGAATGATTTATTTACCGAAAGGAAAAATGTCATTTAAGGAAATATTTTACAGTTTCTGAGAATTATCAAAAACTGTTGTTTTAAAGCATATCAACTTTTAACTTTATAACATAAGAAAAACAAAAAAAAAATATTGAAATTATTCGCATATTTTGAGGCAAACCTCGTATATTGAGGATATAGAGACACAGTTTAAATAAAGTAATGGTGATGTTAACAATCTTATTATATTAGGCTTAATATACTACCTGTTCGTCTTTCGAAGAAGACAAAGCAATGGTGACATGAACCTATATATTGTATATATAATTTTGGATCTATATTGCATTGAATACGTTTTGCTTAAAGTAAGGGTATTAATTTTAGTCTGTCTGTCTATCCGTCCTTCAGCCCTTCTGTCAGTGATCCTTATGTTTCTTCGCAATATCTTGATAAACGTGCTTCAAATACATATTGATATCCCTGCTTTTTCAAAGAAATTTTACAAGACAACTCCCTGTTGCCTAAAATAGACCCCTATTGATACGGAGATCAAAAGTTCAAAGGTCATTGTTAAAAAAATGATAAATAATGTTTGTTTTAAACTCTCTTTTCCGCACGATATTTCAAGAAGTGCCGGGCTTTTTCAGTTAAATTTTATACCATAGTAGAAACTCCCTATGGTTCCGTCTGTTCCTTTTAAAGTGTCTTCTTCTTTCTTTTATTACTTCGATGCATCTATTCAACCAGTGGCTGTGATGATGCTGCCTAAATGTTTAAAGGAGTCTGCATCTTAAAGGTTGTGCTCTCTAAGCGTAACTGGTGTCTGCTGTTTGTTATGGAGCCGCATTACCTCTGTCTTTTCGATGTTCACCTTTAGACCTCTCTTTGCTACTTCTTTGGCAACCCTATTTGTCTTGAGCTGTGTATGCTCATACTTCTGGGACATGAAGCCTGCAAAGTCGACGTCTTCCAAACAATGGGTGAAAGTTCACTGGACTCCTGTCTTACTATCTTTAGTTGTCTTTCGCATGATCCAGTCCACTAGCACTAGAAAAAAAATCATTGATGACAGTAGACAGCCTTGTCTAACCCCTGTCTGCACCTCAAAAGGTTTCCATCGTGGATGACTAAGCATGTTGCCTCGCCATACAATTGTTGTATGAGGTTGATAGAAGTAGGAGGCGTGTTGACTGCAACTCCAGTGACTGTTCGATTATTATACCTTGAGTGGCGATCTGGTCTGTACAGGATTTGTCTTTTCTAAAGCCTGCCTGTTCTCTGTTAGGATCTTGCTTGGGATCGAGCGAAGCATAATGCCAAGCCATTTCTTGCATTGTCCCAGGTCTCCTTTCTTTGGTACCTTCACTAGGGGGCCTTTTTCCAATCAACTGGTACCTTCCTCTCGGACCTTATCCGCTGCAGGAAAGGTAGTAGCATATTTGCTGAAGTCTTTATGTCTGCTTAAAGGGCTTCTGGGGGAATTCCGTCAGGTCCAGCTTCTTTTCCACTCTTAAGTTTCTTCAGAGCCTTGATAGTTTTATCCCTTATGGGAGGGGCGGTGATCACTCCTAGTTCAGAATGTCTTTGTGGTAGGTTTTGTGTTGTTTCTAGTGCTGGGCGATTTAGGAGTTCTCTGGAATGTTCTGCCAAGTGCTTTCTCTGATCTTCTTCCTTTGTTAGAGCCTTGTCTTCCTTGCCTTTTACTGGTCTTTATCTCTGTATTCATGTTATCCATCAAGATTTTCATATGTCGCGTTGGTGTCTTGGCCACTGCTGCTTGCAATATTGTTTCTTCATTTGCAGAGTTTATTCGTGAGTAACATTAGATTACAGTTCCTTCTCTTTATTTGGAGTGGAATCTTGCTGTCATAATCCTTGATGAGATTGGTTTCCATTCAGTCAGTGCATCGGCAGTAGCTGGTGACATTATGATGGCAATTCCTTCTGTGTAAGATGGAATTCAAATGCTTATCAAACCTACATTCGCACGGATTTTCAGGTCTCAGTTGGGAACAACTTATTATTAATTAACAATTGTAGAATTATATTTCAGAATGTTATAGTTTTTGATATGCTTTAACACTTTAAACATTTAGTCCCTACTAATTTTAGAAAGGCTTTCCAGGTGTGTCCATCTAGATAATTGGATCCTAAATACCATACTGGGCAGGAGTAGCAGCAGAACATAGGCCTGGGGGTACTAATTTGAACTTACCAGCTTCAAAGACTTGGAATGGTGTAAAGGGACTTCAGTGGCATCATGTTGAACAAACCATAGCAACTTTGTCTGTTAAATTTCCTCGCCCTGATTGGTTATTTTTTCATGTCGGGTCCAATGATCTGACTTCTGGTGACATTACCTCGAAATCTTTCTCACATATGGCACAATGCACATTTTTCAGATACAATGCACTGTGGCCTAACACTAAGCTAGTCTGTTCATGTTTACTACCAAGGCGTTATTGGCATTATGCAACTCTTGGGGACGGGTCAAAAATAAATATGAAAAGGATTGGAATAATTAAGTTTATAAAAAAAATATGATTAAGGAAGTACAGGGATGTGTTATTAAAAATGATCATAATATCAAAGCAACAGAAATTGACCTCTACCGTACTGATGGCACACACTTATCTAATGTAGGCAACAAAATATTTTTGAATTATCTCTTAGCAGCAATGCAGTTTTTCTTGAGGAAAAACGCAAGAATTTTTCCTGCCACAAGCCAGTGAAACAGAGACTTTTCTTTCCCGATATGCAAACAGTAGTAAATGCATGGATGGTTAGAGCATAGACATTTATATTCATAGTTAAATAATTTACTTTTTTATGTTAAACACAGACCATTGTTATAATTTTGTAGGGGACATATTGTTCAATGTCTGTGGCGGGACTGAGGAGCGCATTGCGGTAGCTGATCACTAATTCTGCTTCAAAACCTGTTGTCTCCTCCCACCTGCTACTAAAAAATTGGGCATGTATTATGTTTACTATCAAGTAGGTTGAAAATGTTTGTAAAAAATCAGTACTTAAAGGTTAATTGTAATAGAGAGGCTCACAGCTAGTCCATTGTTGGTGCCTCATCCACCTCCCTACCGAGGGAGTGGATGCTACAGGCTGGGGCATGTTCTTTGGGAGGCAACCGTAGGACAGTCTACTGGGTCCTCCCTTTCATGCATTATACCAGATAGCTCTGAAGACACGGGCAAGAAGTCATCACTACCCTCCTCAGAACGCGATGACTCGTTCAGGCTCTGAGCACCTATGTTCACATAGGGCTCCCAGTGGGTTCCCTACATTGGGTAGTTAAATTGGAACACTGGCTGCCTCCCCAGTTCCCCACAAATATTTTATATGCCACCTTTTCCACCATATTTTGATTTATTGTCTGTGTCTTTTTCTGCATATTAAAAGTTATAAATGTGCAAGCTTTCTTATGTTGTGAATCCATACTCCACATTAAACAAATTACGATCCAAAGATAGAGGTTAGGTTTAGACGTGCTAATTCTGGAAAAGGATATCATTTTCAACCCATACTACTGCCAAGATTTGGCCATTTCTGACAAATGGACATGAACAGAAAAAAATAACTTGAATAGTAAGGTATATAATAGGCGGAAAATTGTTTAAGCTTCTTTGACAGAAAGCTAAGGAGCACGTGACTTGACCGCGTACAAGGAGGGCTATTTTGAAAAATTTTCAACACTGAAGCAATGTATCATTTCTATTTTGGAAGTAATTCAATTAGTTAGCGAACGTTTTGATCACCCCTCGTATATGTAACTATTATTTAGGATTTTGCAAATTGGGCTGATGCTATTGAATGGAGCTTCTTCAGCCATTGCCCAGAGGTAAAGTAAAAGTGTTTTGGCTGTGTCAAGAGATAATGACGCCAACAGAATGTATTTCCATTAAGCATAATGACAAGTTATATAAAGTTTTAAAACTTTGATATGGTTTGTTGTTACAGTTAAAACAAATTCTAAATAGAAATTTCTGATCACTCAAAATATGCAACATTGTATTCCAATAATATATAGGCCTTTTTCCTAAAATTAAATCTCATGATCCTCTGATTCAGTGTGTTTTTTTTCCAAAGAGTGCACTACGAATCAGGCCAGATGATGCATATTTCTTTCAAATTTAACATTAAAAGAGCTTAAACACATATTAAATGTTAACATTTTCTTTAATTTTCTATTATTTCGAAACTTTTATGTTGCTTGAGAATTTCATGCGAAAATATAACCCAAATGTTATTTTTCTGAAAGTTAATTATTGAAACTTTGAATTTCTAGACGCATTTGATTAACACATCCTTGAACCTTTACAATTTTATTCTCTTTTTAATCTTATTCTTCATACTTAAATAATGTACCAATTTCGTTGTGTATGAATGAAAAATATAAAAACTATCATCCAGAAAATTAAAAGTAGAAATGTAAAAAATAAAAAACAACAAATCAGTTTTGTCAGTCCGTGGTCAGTGGTGCGTGCAGAGTTTTACAAATGAAATACATCTGGTAAAACGTCAACATTAACAGAGCTGAGCTCGTGCCCTGTTCACGAAAAATGTGCATGTTTCATGGGTGTATTCAATTTATTAAACTCTGTACACAACATTAAGCATGGGCTGACATTCCTGAGGAATGGTTTGCTTTCGCACATTTCCACTCAGAATATTATGGGTGATAGTTTTAATACAGTGTATTTTTCATCAATACAAATAAATTCATACTCTTTTAAAGTATTAATGATAAAATAAAAACTTGTGAAAGTGTAAAGATGTATCGATACAAAGTCGTTAAGTAATTCAAAATTTCAGTAACTTCCAGAAAAAGATATCAATATATTTTCATTTTAATTGCTATCATAACATGATATTCAAACGAAAAGATTGTGAAAATATCAAATCTGTGTCTAAGCACCATTAAAACACAATTTCAAATTAATTATGAATTACACATCTTTTTCGGTAGTAGTATCTTTCCTTTACACATATTCTTTAATGAAAATATAAAAACTATAAGATCTTAGAGATCAGATAAAACTTTTACAGTTTTAAAGATTTTCTTACCAAATAAAACGAAACAAATATTTATTTTTAATGATCAGTCATTTATTATATTGTGCATCAGCTTTTTGTCACAGTACTGACTAAAACAGACGAAAGCCGGAAAAGGAATTGGCTGCCTACTGGTATCTGTATATCTTTGATAATTTCCAAGTCGGGGAAGTTTGAACCCAAACCTTGTTGCCTCGCCTTAGGTAAAGGATTGTCATATTACTACCCATGTTGTAGGCTAATCGCACTCTTTCAGACACAGACTCGACTACTCGTCTTCCATTTTTCATCAACCAAAGAGCGTCTCCTTTGCCTCGTTGTGGCATGGATGTGAAGAAGAAGACGTACACTCCAGATACGGGGGCGCGGAAAATACCACGTCTGTACGCTCTCCCTATGTTGAGGTTTATTCGAGAGTATCTTGTGGTTTGCTTGTTACTCTTTATTTTTCTAGTTACCGAGATATGCAGTGAAGGCCACCTTTCTTCCTAAAAAAAAATTCTTATTATTTTAGAAAAACAAAACACGAATCGTAGCCTATAAATATGCATATTGTTTGATAGTGATTAAGACACAAAAATACATATTTCATAGAAAAGCCAGGTTAGGTTAATTATGATGATTATTTTTTTTTAAAAGTGAAACATGTGGGGATGGCGAAGAGTATTCGAGCTTGAAAGTCCCTAAAATAGTATAAAATAGGAACAGAGCAGGCATGGACCTACGAAAGATAAAAAATAGGATCAGCTGCCATGTCCTAGAATATAAACTACATGTTCAGATTTATATTTCTTGTAGATCTTTTCGTCTTTTGAGATTAATTCTCTTTCTTTTTTAATACCATATAGATATATAATATTTTATAAATATTTTATCTACTTAAATTATTCTTGAGATAAAGCTTAATATTGATTTTTTTTTTTATTTTGTCTCACATTTTTTAGCGTACTAGTCTTTGAACTATGGTTTTTAGAAACGGACTTCTTTACAATACGCAAATATAAACGCCAATGCTTATTGCTTTCATTCTCTGATCTCAAGGTTGAAAAGATGTATAAATACTTTAATATGGCAAACAATGTGATTCATATGATGATATGTGCATTGAAAACCAAATTTCAATTAAGAAATCTTTTTTGCATTTCTACCAAATTCATTTGAAATGATGCATTGAAATATTTACTGTATTTCAGATGTTGTATATGGACTACGCAGCATACAGATATTTTGTTATTGATATGCACTGTAAAAACTGTGTTTAGAATCTAAACGCAAATCTAAACACATTTTTTGTATCACTTTTTTACACGTTTAGGTCTAAACATGTCTCATTTCTAAACACGTTAGACTTCATGTGTTTAGTTGCTAAACATGTTTAATCCCTAAACACTTATATCTAAACACATTTTTGTATCACTTTTTTTACACGTTTAGCCCTAAACACGTCTCATTTCTAAACACATCAACATTTAAGTGTTAAGTTGCTAAACATGATTAGTTCCACAACATTAGATCCAACGCAATAGTTTATTTTATAAACTATCGCAGAAAAACATATTTTTAAAAGAAAAACATTTATATTTATTAAATAAGTTTCCTATAAATACGTTAGTATGTTTAAGAACTGGTGTTTACATGTTTGTACAAAAACCAAACTTTGAACTTGAAAAGTACCCATATTTCAGAAAAAGAAACAGCTAACCATAACATTATTGAATATTCAAACTTGTATTTATTTTGAAGAATTTTAAATTCAATGTACATATAGGTCCAAACATGTAAATTTTTTTTTGCTCGTTTACATATTATTCAGCTCAGCAAGCATGCAATTCCTCATGTCTTTCACAAATTAAATTTAATCAACTTTATTAATTTCCTGCAAGTCTTTCACTGGAAACACACGATCATATGTTTTCGTCCAAGACTGCCAGAAAGGAATCCATTTCCATTATACGAATGTTTTGTGGCTGTTTAAAACTATACCAAACAATAGACTTAACAAAATTCAGTTTCCTCCAAAATGCAAGAAGTGCTGAAGATGTACCAACAATTGCGTGGACTTGGAAATGGACCCAGCTACTCTGAGACGTGTATTTTTGCTTTGATCTGGACCATATCCTGTCAGAAAGAATGAAATTATACTAAAAATATGCCCCTTGCTGACTGATAGCTAAACTAACTAATATTATGCAACTTTTATTGAAATCCATTTAACTATTATGTACATACACATGTATAATACTGATATCGATAGAGATATTTTCAATTACATTCTATATAGCTTCTTCCTAGCTTTCAGAATGCAAAAATTAAAGAAGGAAATCTTGATCTACAATTGTGTAATTGCATGTTTATTTACGTTTCTCATTCTAGTCAATTTATGTCAAAATAATAAAGGTAAGCAGACCTTTTATTGTGGTAATATTGCCTTTCACATGCCTCTCACAATCCCTTCCAGGTTATCACTTTGGTTATGATTCGCTACCTTTAATCCATCTTCTTTGGCTTACACTGGAATTTCCTTTGTTTCGATAACCGCTCTATTAACGTTCAAATATATTACGCGTCATTTCCGGGAAGATAATTCTGTTTGTCACAGAAAGTGTTCAATTTCTAAACACTTAAATCTAAACATGTCTTAAATCTAAACACGTTTAGATATAATACATGCTAAGAGGTAAGTGTTTAGCCGTTAAACACAATCTTAAACATGTTTAGGTCTAATCATGTAATGGAAGTGTTTATTTTCTAAACGCAGTTTTTACAGTGTGCACTTTATCAGTGATAAAATTGCTTAAACAACCTCTCCACCTTAACCGCCTTAAGTTGGTCTGGCGTCAGGAGTTTCCATACTCAGTCTGTCTCTTTTAAAAGTTGGTCTGGCGTCAGGAGTTTCCATACTCAGTCTGTCTCTTTTAAAAGTTGGCCTTGCGTCAGGAGTTTCCATACTCAGTCTGTCTCTTTTAAAAGTTGGTCTGGCGTCAGGACTTTCCATACTCAGTCTGTCTCTTTTCAAAGTTGGTCTGGCGTCAGGAGTTTCAATGCTGTCTCTTTTCAAAGTAGGTCTGGGGTCAGGAGTTTCCATACTGTCTTCCTCTTGTATATTAACAAACAGGATACATTAGAAAATTATAAATGTCACCGAAAGATGCATTTTAAAACAGCTGTGAAATATATTATCAATAAGAGAATAATAATAATAATTTAGTTATTTTCTCCAATGTGACTTTAATAAATACAGTTAATTCTCGTTAAACCGCCACCTTTTGTAATTTAGAAATCATGGCGGTATAACGAATTTGGCGATGAATTGAATTTCTCATCTTTTAGGAAACAAGAAGTAAAATCATCGTTCTTAGAAATACCATTAAGCATATCTATTCTTATTATTACATGTACATGTATATAAAAACATATCTCTAAATTTGAAAATACTTCTAGTACTTTTTATGTACAATTTCGCTAAAACAAAATATGCAGTTATGAAATAAAGATAAGTACATGTGAATGCATGTAAATCTGCACGTCTGATATTGAAAAAAACATGTTGGTTCGATCGTCGTGGTGTATTGCGGATAGTACTTAAAATGAATTCTTCAATAAATTCATTGTTTATGGCATCATAGTTAATGAAACGTTCACAATTTCTACCATATAATTATTTTTTAAGCAAACTTTGCATTGTTTAAAGCAGAGATAATCAAAGTTATATCATTACTGGCGAAAATTAACAACAACTGCTTTCGTGGCGAAGCCCTGACTAAATGATTTTTATTAAACAGGAAACGAAATCATTATAACAGTTCAAGTTAAAATTATTGTTTATTTAATTTTTATTTAATTATATAATTGCAAGAACCTCGTCTGACTTTGCATGCTTTACGACAGGGATAGTGTCAACCAATTAGCCGCGCTTCACTGACCACATACACCTGTGGCGGTACATCGAGATAATTGACACTTAAAAATGGACGTTTGTTCTGAAAACAGGGTGGCGGATGGCGGTATGCGAATTTGGCGTTATAACGAGAATTTTATATAGCAGGAAAAACGTTCTTGGGAAATCATGGCGGTATTGCGAAAATGGCGATGAATCGAATGGCGATAATTCGAGAATTGACTGTACATTGTTGTCAAATGTATTTAAACAGTAAACTTGCAGAATATCATTGTTCTTTATGATTCATGATTTTAGAACACATTAAACATTTTTTGAAACAAGCTTTTCGAACGCCCTTACTATTTACATACCTCTCTCTTCAACTTTCTTTTAAAAAGTGCACTGGTGTCAGGACTCTTTACATCTTCTTCCTGTGTATGTCAATAAACAGATGCATAAGAACTTTGTCAGCGAGAGGATGCATATGAAAACAACTGTGAGATATTATTATCAATTACATAACAATAATCTAGTTATGCTCTTCATTCTGACTTTAATAGTGACTTTTGTTTTTTTATTTGTATTACAACAGTTTTTTTTTGCAGAATATTCATCGATATCTATTTCATATTTTATAAGCACATGGATACCTAAACATTTTCTTAAACAGGATTTTTGAACGCTTTAACTACTAGTTTTCACGCATCTTTCAAGTCATCTTTCTTTCTTCCTTCCTTTCTTTCTTTCTTTCTTTCCAAAAGAACTGTCTTCAAAGTCACGAACAAAACCAAGCCCACCAGGCACAGGTAAGACAGTCTAACAAATATTATGTTGTCTTTCTGAAATTAATATGACATATTAAGCTTATGAATCATCCTTTTTTCATTATGGGAGTGCTCAAGATTCCCTTTATGTCCAAGGTATGGAAACAAATATATAATGATTCAATAAAGTGTCCTTTTTCAATTAAACTAAAAGTAGTTTCATTTTGTTTGAAACAGGCGTAGGAAGATTCCCTTCAAGTTTGTTGAGCAAGAAACTATTAAGCTCCAATACCAGGCTGTTACCAAATTCAAGAAAACTAGTGGTAAATTTAGATATTTCCAAGTAGTTTCCCATCCTAGAAAACTATCATACACTGCAATTTTCCATTTCACTGAAACTATCACATGCTCTTATTCCATGTGATTTCCTAACTTATGAAAATTAATAGACTCGATCTTTCAATTCCTATAAAATAAATTTTGAAACGGGAAACACCTGGTTTAAGCAATTTATTGGAATCGCAGCGTTGTATTTTCCGTTGGAAATATAACTCAGCAACCGTTCATAGGAACCAACAGGACATATTTTAAAGAGCATTTCTTTGTTTTACCCGCTGAATATATTGATCATCTCTTTCATCAGATTTAAGGTTAAAAAAATCTTTCAAATTTTTTTTTAATCTACACTGTTTTGTTGTAGTGAGTCGTAGTGATTTCAGGGACAGATGAATTTATCCTTCAATTGAAAATGCATGTTTGAATTTAAACAATGTCTAAAAAATTTTTGGTTTTTGGTGTTGTGTTCATTCCATTGAACACAGAGTTATTGACCTCTTTTAATAACCAGCTTTCAAATAAATTCATTATTTGATACAAAGTCAAAACAAAATTTACCTTGATAGTAGGTAGCCTATTCCTTTGTAGTTTTTTTTTATCTGATCTAAATCTTTAAGTGATAGTGAGCGCAGCATTCTGTCAGGAATGATCATGTACTTAAAGTATAAGTCACATTATCCAGCGATGGGGTATACGATGAGAAACCGGTGAGTTTTTTGATGAAAATGGCATGAATGCCGGCCTGGCACCACTAGTGATCGGACGGTGACTGAGGCCATTTTGCGAATCGGTGGGGTCATCGGTAGGAAATAATTCGTAGTTAAAATTCAGCGATGTCTCCAACGATGCCTCACATCGCTCCTCATCGGTAACCCATCATTAACACATCTTTCAAGGATCGGCCGATGTATGGCCGAGCATCGTATAATATTCGTTGAATCAGAGGTCATCGGGGGGTTGAGTGGTGTTCAACAGATAACTGCCAATCACCGGTCGATTTTCGTCCAAACATTGGCCCGTAGTCGACCAATGTACGAACGATGTTCACCAATGTATGAGCGATGTAATATACATCGGCCGATTATCCTGGAACATCGTTTTTTGATTAGCAATGCATCACTGGGCCTTTGTAAGTCCGGCCGGCAACCACGCCATTTTTATCATAAAACGCATTGGTTGCCCATCGTATACCCATCGCTGGATAATGTGACTGATACTTTAAGGACTACTAGACCGATGTGTACTGATGTTGGGGCATCGCTAACACCACGAATTACCAACGATTACCACCGGTCTACGGCTACCGGCCGGGAAATGTGACCTAGGCAGTACCTGGGTTTTATACTGTATACAGTGGACCCTCATTTATCCGGACGCTTTGGTTCCCAGTCAATTTGTCCGGATAAGTGAAGCGTCCAGATACCTGAATCACCAGTTAAACAAGACAAAATAACATTAAAAAGATCCGTTCCAATGACAAATCGTCTGGATACTGAAGCATCCGGATATCTGGCGTCTGGATATCTGAAGGTTCACTGTACATGTATTCGATGCTGTTACTGGTAAAGATACTTTAGGTCTAAGTAAAGAGAAGGCATTTTAAGCTTACATTTGATATATTTTGACGCTTCTTTAAAGGTTTTCATGTCTGTGGGTCACTCTCTAAGAAATGCAAACTGTTTTTCAATCTAAGATGAGTTGTTCCGAATCCGCTATTGCCTAGGTCATAGTTAAGCCGATGGTCGGGCGACTAAATTTTTCTGGTCTTGTCGGCTGAAAGAACAGTATCGGCCTACACAGTATCGGGCGATACGGAGCAGTCACATTATTTCCTAGGGACACCGATGACTTGGATAAATAAAACAAAAAATCCTTTTCTCTAGAAATCAGCAATATTTTTTCATATATCTATATTCAGATAGGTGACGTGAGTAATGTTTGCAAGGCAAAGTGGCAGGATTTTTCAAGATTGTGACTCAATGTTGCAAATGTGTGCAAAATTTGTATGGAATTACATAAAAACGACAAATGGTGCATATCTAAGCAGCAAAGAATCCTTAAGATTTCTTTATATCTTACGGATTAATTATTAATGTTATCTCCGTTCAAAAAAAAATTATCAATTCTTGCATCAAAATTTTATTTGTGTTATGTATCCTTAATAGGTTAAATATTCGCAAATCGGCCAATAGTCGCCCGATCATCGAGCTCTGAGCTACAGTTTGATTTTAATCGTCGGCCGAAATTTTCAACACCCGTAAGTATCAGTCACATTATCCAGCGATGGGGTATACGATGAGAAACAGATGCGTTTTTTGATGAAAATGGCATGGTTGCCGGCCGGGCACCACTAGTGATCGGACGGTGACTGAGGCCGTTTTGCAAATCGGTGGGGACATCGGTAGGAAATAATTCGTAGTTAAAATTTAGCGATGTCTCCAACGATGCCTCACATCGCATCTCATCGGTAACCCATCATTAACACATCTTTCAAGGATCGGCCGATGTATGGCCGAGCATCGTCCAATATCCGCTGAATCAGAGGTTAATAAGGGGTTGAGTCGTGTTCAACAGATAACTGCCGATCACCGGTCGATGTTCGACCAAACATTGGCCCGTAGTCGACCGATGTACGAACGATGTTCACCAATGTATGAGCGATGTCATATACATCGGCCGATTATCCTGGAACATCGTTTTTTGATTAGCAATGCATCGCTGGGCCTTTGTAAGTCCGGCCGGCAACCACGCCATTTTTATCATAAAACGCATTGGCTGCCCATTGTATACCCATCGCTGGATAATGTAACTGATACTTTAAGGACTACTAGGCCGATGTGGACCGATGTTGGGGCATCGTTAACACTACGGATTACCACCGATTACCACCGGTCTACGGCTACCGGCCGGGAAATGTGACCTAGGCATTAATGTCCAACAACGGATGACCGACTTAATAAATTAAACTGACCACCGATGGTCGGACGATGATCGAAGGTTGGTCGACAGATAACACTTGAAGAAATCGGCCACCGACGCATGAAAAATTATAACTTAGACCGATGAACATAAAATTGGTCGGCCGACAGAAATAGGTAAAAATCGGCCAAG